AGTGAGATGATAAAGTATCTTACTCTCTGATCATTAGGAACATGCTATGTTGAAGTGCTGGCTTCTCTGGCAACAATGCAGCAGCCAGTATGTCCTCCTTCTAACTTTAGATTCTGCTCCTGAATGCTCTGGATTTGTTTGGACAGAGAAGGTAGGCGCTTTTTAAGACACGCCCCCACACGGCCGTTTTGGACGCCCCTCGTTTACCAGTATGAGAGCATTATCAGGTCAACAGGTGTTGCAGTGATGGAAGCGGTCAAGAGAAGTGGTTCAGATAGAAGTGATTGTACCCGACCTAAAAAGCCTCTGCATGTTTCTAATAAGCTCCACGAGCAGAAAGTGCTCAAACTAGGATCAATATTGGAGATGCTTTTGAAAAATGGAGAGAGGTTAGACACAGAAAGGTTTACAGACCCATGCAGAGCTGGATAAACACTGAAGCTTCAGAGTCCACCACATGGTGACTGAGTGAGCATCCACTCTAGAGAGGAGGGGGGGGACAACTCTCTATGATGTTAGAATTTAGACTGCAGTACACATTTTAAACACTAGGGGTAGATTACATACTGCTCCTTTAATTGGAGATATTTATGTAAACATGAGAAGTTTCTGGTGGGTTACACGCCGCCCTCTGCTCACCTGAACACAATGAGAGCAGGTGCAACGGAAAAACACACACACACCACACACACACCACACACACACACACACACACACACACACACACACACACACACACATGAAACATGACCCGAGTCAACTCACTGCACCTGGCTGGTCAGGAGTCACTCTCTCTCTCTCTCTCTCTCTCTCTCTCTCACCTGTACTTCATGTTGCTATGACGGCCGATGGCCTCCTTCATGTGGGCGTGGCCTAGCAGGGTGTGCCTGTTTGACGGCTCCGCCCTGACCTTCGTCAGACTTGCGAGGGCGTTGCTGGAGTTCATGGCCGCCCGCCGCTCCTTCATCGGATGGTCGCCCCCGCCGCCACCACCCCCACCAACGTTACACGCTATGGACACCTGCATCCTGGTTGCTACGGTAACAAGCTCTCTCTCCACACACACACTTTATATATACACTGAGATCAAAAGTCTCAAAACATGATGAAGAAACTGTCGCTGCCGCCAAGGTCGCCGGTCGCTATGGTGACGATGGAAAGAACTCATGAGTGGGATGTAAACTTTGAGTCTCGCTGTGTGTAAATCAATCAGCCAATCAGAGCCACACTACAGGACAACACACACACACACACACACACACACACACACACACACACACACACACACACACACACACACACACACACACACACACACACACACACACTACAACTTTCAGTCAGTCTCTAGCATCCCATCCTCGGCCGGACACAGTCCACCGCCAGAGTCCGAGGAGGAGGAGGCTGTGTAAGTGTGGACGATGAAGGTGCTGCAGGTGATGATGAAGATGAAGGTGCTGCAGGTGATGATGAAGATGAAGAGCGTCCACGTGTCCACAAAACGAAAAAAAGAGGAGAACAAAATACAGACGTGGAGGGAGAGCAACGACAGAAGTGAATCTCCAAAAGAGAAGAGCAAGCGTCCGTCCTCTGGACTCCACTGACAGAGAGAGAGAGAGAGAGAGGGAGAGAGAGAGAGGGAGAGAGAGCGAGTGAGGGAGAGAGAGAGAGAGAGAGAGAGAGAGGGAGAGAGAGAGAGAGAGAGAGAGCGAGTGAGGGAGAGAGAGAGAGAGAGAGAGAGAGGGAGGGAGAGAGAGAGAGAGAGAGAGAGAGAGAGAGAGACAGAGAGAGAGAGCGAGTGAGGGAGAGAGAGAGAGAGAGCGAGTGAGGGACAGAGGGAGAGAGACAGAGAGAGAGGGAGCCCCTCCCCCTCCTGCCTCGGTCGGCTGCACACAGGGCGAGCGAGCATGTTACAGACAGAGAGAAAGAGAGAGAGCTGTCTGTCTCTGTGCAGAAAACATTCAAACGTTCTCCGTTTGTACTCCACAGCTTTAAATACATGTGGCTGTTTGTACTCTGTTCTGTGACCTTTATAAATAAAGTTTTTATTTGTATTCTATATGAAGTATAACACTGTTAGAATAATAAACTCTAATGTTGTATGATGTCATTATTACTCAGATTAGAACTCTTCTGTAGTCAATCAGCGTGTCTGTCATGTTTTTTATTATCTGTGAGCACGCTCAGTTTGAGAAAACAAATAAAAACATAAACATTGTAGTACGGTGGCCCCTGAGGCTCACACACACACACACACACACACACACACACACACACACACACACACACACACACACACACACACACACACACACACACACACACACACTGTGGGAGTCTCTGATTTGTTTCCTTTTTAAATAAAGACGTACAAATTAAATGTTTGACAATCAAAGCTGTGATGGAAAGTGGAGGAAAGCAAATATGACGGTTAAAAGTTTTTTTGCCTCGTTGAATAATTTTTGGGCGAATACGTCGACTTTTAAGTAAGAGGAGATAACGGCAACAGAAACATCTTCAAGGATTCAAAACGACAAAGAGTTTTAAAAAGTGCAAACAAACATCTGCACGCTGACAACTTGCAACATAGTTCAGGATATTGGTTTTGACTGCCCCTCTGGATACCCCCCCCCCCCCGACCCCTCCAGCATCACTGCAGCATCCTCTTCCTCTGACCCCCCCACACACACACACTCGTCCGCACAACTGGTCCCATTAGAGGCGGACACAGTGTGCCGCCTGAGGCTGAAGGTATGCTGTCACTAATGTGGATTAAAGCAGCATCCACTGCACACACACACACACACACACACACACACACACACACACACACACACACACACACACACACACACACACACTCTCTCCCTGTGATTCGTTCTCACATCAGAACTCTCTGTCGTGTTTGCTTCTCTCTTTCAGATCTTTGGTTGTTCTTATTTTAGCCGTCTGTCAGCTGATTCTCACTTTGACTTTGATGATCTGTCGCCGTGTTTTTACTGCAGGATTACTCTTTAATACAGATTTAAAAACCATGAGACGTTCATTAAAGAGCTCAGAGCTCCTCTTCAACATGTGTGAAGTTTCTTGTTCTAAATCCACTCTGATCCTGTATTTGATCATGTCTATAAACCCCTCTATTTCAGCCCTGCTCAGAACAGGCTGTTTCTGTGTCTGTACCTTTAAATATGTAAATGAGCTGTGTCTGACCACACCCCCTCTCTGGAAGGGCTCGGGTGTCTTGGGCTTCTGATTCTGATTGACACAAATTGGCTCCAGGACAGGAGTAAAATAAAACATCATCTTGTGGCTTCCTTATATTTATCACAGTGTGTTCATTGTTTACATTATGGTGGTCAGGGGCGTGTCCGGGGGGGGGGGGTGATTCTACATATTATACATTTAAATTGTAAATAAAAGCTTTGCACATCTATCCCATTAAACAGGTTCAAAGGAAAGTGATGGATTCGCAGTGATGAAGATTTCATGCACTTTTAATGACTTTAAATTGTGGAGCCGAGACGCCACTCAAACGATGTTGAAATGTTGTCTGATCGACTATTTTTGGGCGTTTGGGTGAGAGAGAGTGGAGAACATTAGCCTCCGTACATAGGGCGTTGGCACTAACCACTAGGCTACCGGCGCCCTGGATTCCCTCTCTTAATCGGCCACTTTATGGCAATGAGCCTGTCAATCAGGTCAGCTACACGCCTTATTGTGAATAACTCTTATCCTTCATCAAATCAAAACTGATGAGTCATCAAAACATTCACCCCCCCGTACAGTGTGTGTCCATCCAGACATGAGCTAATCACACCTATTTGGTTTTTTGAACCAGGCTGTAAACATGTTCATCTCTGCTGTAAAAACAGGCTTTTTAGAATGGGTGTGTATGTGACTTCCTGTGCTTCTGCAGCCAGCCTCTAGTGGACACTCCAGGAACTACAGGATTTTTAACACGAGAGGTTGCTGCTTGGTTTAGAGGTATGTAAACGTGTATTACCTCTCACACACACACACACACACACACACACACACACACACATTAGAGCTGTGTTTGGAGGTGTTTAAGTACCTCATTAATAATTACGAGGATGTGGTTCATGTGTGAAGAAGTATTTGTAGAGTGCTGCTGTTCATGTTGGTGGAGAGTGTTGATGCTGATTCAGCTGTACACACACACACACACACACACACACACACACACACACACACACACACACAGACACACACACACACACACACACACACACACACACACACACACACACACACACACACACACACACACACACACACACACACACACACAGTTTACAACGTCAGAAACATGACTCAGCAGTTTCATCGGCCAATCACAGCGAGCGGAGCTGAGACTCCGTTCAGCCGCTCACAGAGAAGATTAATAAACATGATGTCAGTTAGTAAACATGTTTGTAAACATGGACTGTCGGATGTAGTGGGAGGAATAAAAACAATCTTTTGATGCGTCATCGTGCTCTGCTTCCTGTACTCAGTACATCAGCGCTCTCTCGTGGCCAGTCGGTGTCATTACAACCAGCTCTGATCCAAACAGGCCGACGACAGTCCATTCAAAAAACATTCAAATGAAGGCCGACAGCCCAAGAAAAAAAAAAACTCTCACTGTGTCTCACCTGTCTCACTCTGTCTCACCTGTCTCACTCTGTCTCACCTGTCTCACAGAGTGAAACCTGTCTGGTAACTCTTCTTACCAATCTCACCTGTCTCACAGTTTCTTGTCTATCTGTGTACCTGTCTTACTCTCCTTACTTGTCTCATAGAGTCCTACCTCTCTGTCTGTCTGGGTTTTTTTTTTACCAGTCCCTCAATGTCTCTATCTCATCTGTCTCTCACCTGTCTCCCAGTGTCTCACCTGTCTCCCAGTGCCTCCCAGTGTCTCACCTGTCTCCCAGTGTCTCCCAGTGCTTCACCTGTCTCCCAGTGTCTCACCTGTCTCCCAGTGCCTCCCAGTGTCTCACCTGTCTCCCAGTGCTTCACCTGTCTCACCTGTCTCCCAGTGTCTCCCAGTGCTTCACCTGTCTCCCAGTGTCTCCCAGTGCTTCACCTGTCTCCCAGTGTCTCCCAGTGTCTCACCTGTCTCCCAGTGTCTCACCTGTCTCTCAGTGCTTTAACCTGTCTCCCAGTGTCTCACCTGTCTCCCAGTGTCTCCCAGTGTCTCACCTGTCTCCCAGTGTCTCACCTGTCTCCCAGTGCCTCACCTGTCTCTCAGTGTCTCACCTGTCTACCACTGCTTCACCTGTCTCCCAGTGTCTCACCTGTCTCCCAGTGTCTCACCTGTCTCCCAGTGCTTCACCTGTCTCCCAGTGTCTCCCAGTGCCTCACCTGTCTCCCAGTGCATCACCTGTCTCCCAGTGTCTCACCTGTCTACCACTGCTTCACCTGTCTCCCAGTGTCTCACCTGTCTCCCAGTGTCTCACCTGTCTCCCAGTGCTTCACCTGTCTCCCAGTGCCTCACCTGTCTCCCAGTGTCTCACCTGTCTCCCAGTGTCTCACCTGTCTCACTGTCTCCCAGTGCCTCACCTGTCTCCCAGTGTCTCACCTGTCTCCCAGTGTCTCACCTGTCTCCCAGTGTCTCCCAGTGTCTCACCTGTCTCCCAGTGTCTCACCTGTCTCCCAGTGCCTCACCTGTCTCTCAGTGTCTCACTGTCTACACTGCTTCACCTGTCTCCCAGTGTCTCACCTGTCTCCCAGTGTCTCACCTGTCTCCCAGTGCTTCACCTGTCTCCCAGTGTCTCCCAGTGCTCCCTGTCTCCCAGTGTCTCACCTGTCTCCCAGTGTCTCACCTGTCCACCTGTCTCCCAGTGCCTCACCTGTCTCCCAGTGTCTCACCTGTCTCCCAGTGTCTCCCAGTGCCTCACCTGTCTCCCAGTGTCTACCTGTCTCCCAGTGCTCACCTGTCTCCCAGTGTCTCACTGTCTGCCTCACCTGTCTCCAGTGTTCACCTGTCTCCAGTGTCTCACCTGTCTCCCAGTGCCTCACCTGTCTCACCTGTCTCCCAGTGTCTCACCTGTAGGGCATGTTGCTCTGGTCCATGGTGACATCACATTCTTTCAGGTAGATCTCGAGCCTTCGTCTCTCCATCAGCCTCCTCGCCGCCTCCAGGATCTGGGACGCCAGCACCGATTCTTCTTTCTCCTTCGGTTCTTTCTTCAAGTCGCCTTTCTCCGTTTTCCCATGATTCCCTCTGTTCACCTTCGGCTTCTTGTTAAAGCCGTACAGCTCCTCCACCGAAAACTTCCCGCCTTTTCCTCCAGACGCCGCCGAACCGACGGCCGTACTCGCTCGGCCCGCAAACATGGCTGTTAAACAACGAGGGC